GCTGCTGTCTCAGAGCCTGTCGGACCTCAACCCGAGGGGACGTCTGTTGGCGTTGGTATGCTCAGAACTTGCCTTTTGACTTTCCTTATCGTATTCGATAATCCGCTGAGCTTCTATGTTGTTGCTTGTAGGATCTCGATCTTCCTTGTACGAGCGTGTCCGTAGCCTTTTGGTCCATACTGATCCTGACAGAGAGGCTTTTTGCACGGACCTCAGCTTCTTCACCGCCTTTTATAATGGCCTGATCGAGAAACTTCTTCACCGAGGAGGCGGCCTTGATCAGTTCCGGCGTTCCTTTTCTCGCCACATGATGATGATGAGGGAAGAAGGATACCCGGAATTGGCCGATTCCTTCACAGCTGATTTCGCTGCCCTGGAGTCAGAGATACGAGAGTTGAAGGAACTGGAGGTTACCGGGGCTTCTTCTTTCGTGTCCTCTCAGTTGGAGCATAGGATGGCACAGTGGCGTGACCTGAGATCTTCCATCGGGCTCCATTGCGCAGCTAATGGCTAACGTGGCGAGGAAGGATATGGAGAGAGCTGAGTTACTCCGCTCCTTGGATTCGAATCGCGAGGAAGCGGCTAGGTTGAAGGAGGCCTTGAAGCGTACCGAGGAATCCGCCGTTCTTATTGCAGATGACCTGATTGGACTAGAGCGTTCTCGTGACCAGGTACTCGAGGAGCTTGGATCTACTCAGGAGAGACTGATGAAGTTGAAGAGTGAAGCTGCGGAGATTTTGATAGACTTCTTAGCTTAAAGTCTCATATTCTCAGTCGCCAGCTGCCTTCGGGCTAACGAGCTTTTGTTGTATGCTTTTGACTCAGTCTATCAATAGAAACTCTGCATTTGCTTCTTTTGTGATTTCTCTGTATATTTTTTTTTCGAATGACAGATTTATGGGATTTTTGGCAAACCCCCAGCTATCAACGGGTTTGATGTGCCTTTACCGATTACCGTTTGAATCGGGCTAGCATGCGGATTGTCTAGATCCGTTCCACATGTAACGTTGTGCTAAGAGAGTAAACTCTCTGAGGCTTTGTGCTATGATTTTGAATACATAGGCTTCGTCTTTCTCACGGGAATAGACTACCCGGCAACGCGTGTTAGGCGTTGACTTATCCCTACTTAGGCTTCGGGATGAAATTCCCCGTGCATCGAGTGCCCAGATTGGAAGTTGAGAATCGTGTCTTTTCTAAAAGCAAAGACAGACTGAGAAACGGGAGAGGAAGAATTTTATATTCTATCTCCCGGTGCTGAAGAGGAAGAATTTTATATTCTATCTTCGGCCGGAAAGGAAACGGGAGAGGAAGAATTTTATATTCTATCTCCCGGTGCTGAAGAGGAAGAATTTTATATTCTATCTTCGGCCGGAAAGGAGACTCGGGGTGGGATATCCACCCCCAGAATCCGGAATGATGAACTGGGAGTGGGATCTCCACTCCGAGCATCGGAAAGGTCCGAGGAGAGGAAGAATTTTATATTCTATCTCCCGGTGCTGAAGAGGAAGAATTTTATATTCTATCTACAGCTGGAAAGGAAACTCGAGATGGGATCTCCACCCCCAGAATCCGGAAGGATGAAACTAAGAGTGGGATCTCCACTCCGAGAATCGTAACAATTCGGATAACCCTAACTGTCGGAAGGTTTGATTACCCGATTTGGAAGTGGACCTCTCGTTCATTGGGGGAATCGAGAGGAGATTTTGGCTTTGGCCCTAACTTTTATAGGTTTGACCAGAAAGCAAAGAAAGTGGAATACGGGTAGCAAAGAAAGTGCCAACCCATATTACCACTCAAAGGG